GTGCCTCTCTGATTTCTTCCATTCAGTTTTTCCTCCCTTCCCCTGAGGACATCTCGGCTCCTTCCACAGTTTGGCTATTGTGGACAATGCTATTATGAACATTGGGGTGCAGGAGCCCCTTCTTTTCACTACATCTGTATCTTTGGGGTAAATACCTAGTAGTGCAATTGCTGGGTCATAGGATAGCTCTATTTTTAACTTCTTGAGGACGCTCCATACTGTTTTCCCGAGTGACTGTACTAGCTTGCATTCCCACCAACGTGTAGGAGGGTTCCCCTTTCTCCGCATCCTCGCCAACATCTGTTGTTCCCTGTGTTGTTAAGTTTAGCCATTCTAACTGGTGTAAGGTGGTATCTCATTGTGGTTTTGATTTGTATTTCCCTTATGGCAAGTGATGTGAAGCATTTTTTCATGTGTCTATTGGCCGTTTGTATGTCTTCTTTGGAGAAGTGTCTCTTCATGTCTTTTCCCTATTTCTTGACTGGATTATTTGTTTTTTCGGTGTTGAGTTTGATAAGTTCTTTATAGATCTTGGATACCAGCCCTTTATCTGGTATGTCATTTGCAAATATCTTCTCCCATTCCGTAGGTTGCCTTTTAGTTTTGTTGACTATTTCCTTTGCTGTGCAGCTTTTTATCTTGATGAAGTCCCAATAGTTCATTTTTGCTTTTGTTTCCCTTGCCTTTGGAGATGTGTCTAGCAAGAAGTTGCTGTGGCTGAGGTCGAAGAGGTTGCTGACTGTTTTTTTCCTCCAGGATTTTGATGGATTCCTGTCTCACATTTAGGTCTTTCATCCATTTTGAGTTTATCTTTGTGTATGGTATAAGAGAATGGTGCAGTTTCATTCTTCTGCATGTGGCTGTCCAATTTTCCCAGCACCATTTATTGAAGAGACTGTCCTTTTTTCCATTGGATATTCTTTCCTGTTTCGTTGAAGATTAGTTGACCACAGAATTGGAGGTACATTTCTGGGCTCTCTATGTGTCTATTTTTGTGCCAGTACCATACTGTCTTGATGATCACAGCTTTGTAATATAGCTTGAAGTCAGGTATTGTGATGCCCCCAGCTTTGGTTTTCTTTTTCAACATTCCTCTGGTGATTTGGGGTCTTTTCTGATTCCATACAAATTTTAGGATTGTTTGTTCCAGCTCTGTGAAAAATGTTGATAGTATTTCGATAAGGATTGCATTGAATGTATAGATTGCTCTGGGCAGGATAGACATTTTAACAATGTTCATTCTTCCAATCCATGAGCACAGAATATTTTTCCATCTCTTTGTGTCTTCCTCAATTTCTTTCATAAGCATTCTGTAGTTTTTAGAGTACAGATCCTATATCTCTTTGGTAGGTTTATTCCTTGGTATCTTATGGTTTTTGGTGCAATTGTAAACGGGATCAATTCCTTAAATTCTCTTTCTACAGTTAAATTATTAGTGTATAGAAATGCAACTGATTTCTGTGTGTTGATTTTGTGTCCTGCCACGTTGTTGAATTGCTGTATGAGTTCTAGCAATTTTGGGGTGGAGTCTTTTAGGTTTTCCACATAAAGTATCATGTCATCTGTGAAGAGTGAGAGTTTGACTTCTTCTTTGCTGATTCGGATGCCTTTTATTTCTTTTTGCTGTCTGATTGCTGAAGCTAGGACTTCTAGTACTATGTTGAACAACAGTGGTGAGAATGGGCATCCCGTTCGTGTTCCTGACCTTAAGGGAACAGATCAATGCTCTGCTTTTTATGTCATGCATAAAATGTCCTCAGCAACCCAGCTATATGCAAATAATCACCTATGTTCTCTTCTAGAATCTTGCTTTTGTTGGGCACATTTAATTTTTTAACATAGAAAAATTTTATTTTGGTATTTGAAGCAAAATAGGGACCTAACTTTATTTTTGTAATGATAAACAACTTGTCAAAAACCACTTATTACGTAATACATTCTACTCATCACATGTACTATATGTTCAATTTGCCTCTATCTAATCCCTCTTACACATATACATATCTGCAAATATATCTAAGTATATAAATGTAGCTATGTATATACATATACTTCTTATTTTATGAAAATGATCTATCTCTTATGGCAATCACCATCATCTTACTGAATTATTTTACTTTAAAAATACCTTCTGATCTGTTAACAAAACTGACCCACCATATTACTCTTATTTTTCCTTTTTTTTTTTTTTTTTTTGCCTAAGCCATTTAAAAATTATTTTCTTCAGGCACCTGGGTGGTTCAGTTGGTTGAGCATCCAACTCTTGATTTCAGCTCTGGTCATGATCTCAGGGTTGTGAGATTGAGCCCTGAGTTTGGCTCTATGCTCAATGGGGTGTCTGCTTAAGATCCTCTCTCTCTCTCTCTCCCTCTGCCCCTCCCCTGGCTTGTGCATGCTTTCTCTCTCTAAAACTCTCTCTTAAAAAAATGATTTTATTTTTTCTTTCTTTCTTTTTTAGTTTTTATTTAAATTCAAGTTCATTAACATACAGTGTAATATTAGTTTCAGGTGTACAATTTAGTGATTCAACACTTACCTAACACACCCAGTGCTCATTATAACAAGTGCCCTCCTTAAATCCTCACTTATTTAACCCATTCTCCCACCTACCTTCCCTCTGGTAACCATCAGTTTGTTCTCTATAGTTAAGAGTTTTTCTCATGGTTTTCCTCTTTCTTTTTTGTCCCCCATGATCATTTGTTGTGTTTCTTAAATTCCACATATAAGTGAAATCATACGGTATTTGTCTTTCTCTGACTGATTTATTTTGGTTAGCATTATACACCCTAGCTCCATACATGTCAATGCAAATGGCAAGAGTTCCTTCTTTATTATGGCTGAGTAATATTCCTTGTGGTGTGTGTGTGTGTGTACCACCTCTTCTTTATCCATTCATCAGTTGATGGACATTTGGGCTCTTTCCATAATTTGGCTATTGTAGATAATACTGCTATAAACACTGGGGTGCCTGTATCCCTTCAAATCAGTATTTTTGTATCCTTTGAGTAAATCCCTGACAGTACAGTTGCTGGATCATAGAGTATTTCTATTTTTAACTTTTTGAGGAACCTCTATACTATCAAAAATGAATTTTCTTAGTTTATGTTTTAGTTTTAGTTTTTTTCATCTACAGGTCCTGTCTTTTAAATAGACATCATATTCTATTATCAAGCATTTTTGAAATAGGTATCTAGTCTTTTTCATGGAGATGCCTAGCTGTTAGGGCTGAGAAGTCAAAATGCTCTTGGAACCAGCATAACAACAAGCATGGTCAACATCAGTGGTGACACTGTGTGCTGAGAACTCCACAGTTAGAGCAGAGCAAGGAGCAGGAAGTGAGGCAATGTGAGTGCTCCGCTGTGAATTCATGGCCACACCTCACTTTATTTCTGGTAAGTGAATGTGACAACTATTCACATACATTACTATCTTTATACTATCCAGGATATGCCAAATAAAGTAACAAGTCCAAAGGTGGTCTGTTTTAGAAAATTAATTAGAAGAGAGGGTAAAATCCAGTTTGCTTATGCACAAAATATAAACTTGGAGGCTCTTCTGAGACTTGGTATAATTTAGGACGAAACAAGCTAGTGTTTGGGATATTTTGATCAGTTGACTTGCTCTAACCACTTTTGTAATGAGTACTCCTCAGCACAGTGCAGCAGTGAAATGTGTGTGTTCCTTGTAACCAGGTAAAAAAGTATACTTTTGGAGTAGTTTTCATGGTGAAGCAGATGGATCTATACTGATCCACTGACACTTGTTTGCCCATGAGGCTTCACGGATAAAGGTATATAAAAGGATCATTGGCTGACATTAGATGTGGCTAAGGAAAAGTGTTAAGTTACTTGGCACACATGGAGATGGTGGCTGAGCTATCACCATGTCTTAATTGCTAGGAACATCAAAGAGACCCCTAATCTACCCAAGGTCTTTCCTGGTTGAAGTTCTGGTCTGAAAAATCTCTCTCTCCCGACCTCACTGACTTGTTGGGAGACCATTCTACCCCAGTGCCATTTCAATCTTATTTCTTAGAGAAGAGTATCCTTGCGGGGGGTGTGGTGGGGGGGTGGGGGTGTTACAGGTTTCCCTCGGTATCTGCAAGTAGAGCATTCTTACGAAAATGTCCGTAAGTGGAAATGGTGTAAAGTGAAGAAGCAATTATTAATTTACATGGAGAAATTTTTAAGCATTCCCAACCCCCTCCCCCCAAAATAACCTTTCTTAGGCTTTTCTCATACCTTAGGATACAATCGTGCTAATGGATGCACAAGATCAGTGGAGATAAAGGCCCGATGCTCCCAGGATACAGTTCAAAGCTGCAGTGGCTTGATGCTGGGGCGCTGAGTGTGGTCCCGGGTAGGAGCTTGCTGGGGCCCCTCTGGCTGCTCAGGGTGCGCGCGGCCTCTACAACAGCTCGCTGCCACGTAGACACCCAACACTAGTTTCCCAAAGCGGGGGGTACTTGTGTAACTCATTTTTCTTTACTCTTCATCAAATTCCACCAATCAAAACCAGGAATGAGCAGTGAACGGTCATGTTGTTGCTTAATTCTATTAGAAATATCCTGAAAACCTCCCTGGACGTCCCTAGGTAGTCTTTTGCACACTCGAGAGCATAGCAGGACCTATTTAATACGGTTTTGCACTTATCTCCAGAAGGTGATCTTTGCTAATCTGGCTTTCAAGCTGGAAAGAAAGAAGAAGAGTTGATTCCTTGTGGACTTTGCTCCAAACTTTAACCCTCAGGCAATTAAAGCCTCTTCATCCAAAGCAAGTCTCCAGTTAATCAGGCCCTTTCTGTAACCACTCCGAAACACACTTTCAAAACAAAAGTTAGAAAGCTGTATGATCCATTCTCAAGAAAGATCTGTTTCTGTTAAGAACCCGCCCTGACCTTTTTGTTGAAGAAGAACAAAATAATGTAGTAACAAAAACACAAGTCGCTGCCAGAGGAAGAGAAAAAAAAGTTCCTGTAAGGGACTGAAACAATAAATCTCCTCTCTGCTGAACTCCCAAAGGGAGTGTGTGTATTTCCTCCCGTTCTTTATCAGAGCCCCCGAAATCAGTGGGAATGGGCAGTGACTGCTCACATTCAGCACACCTTTTCCATTTGCTAATAAGGCCCTGCCAGGCTGGGAGGGAGTTATCTCTGCGGGACTCTGGAGAGAAGCACCACTGAGACGGTCCACGAGCACCATGGAACTCCTTCAAGTGACCATCCTTTGTCTTCTTCTGTCCAGTCTTTGTAGCAGTGAAAACAACACAGGTACCGTTTTCTCTTATTCTTCTGCTGGTGTGGATCCGAAATCACTGGGGGGGTGGGGGTGGGGGGACTGTTAGCCTCAGTTTACCTTCAGGGACCTTCCCGCGAAACTTGTATACAGCAATTCATTTGCGGAGTCGAGTGTGTGGGTGTTGGCAGGGAGTCCGTGGGGAAGGCTCCATGGAGAAGATGTTTGTTGTTTTCACTGAAAGGAAATGTTTGCTGGTGCAGTGGCCTTGTGGTGTATTTGATGGCACCGTAAAGGTACTGAGAATACGCGATAGCACTTTGGGAGAATAAAAATCTGGGGATTAAATGCTGGTGGCAAATGTACTCTTTCTCAAAAATGTGCTCCTCTCAGGCGTTAAGTCTAGAAATAACAAGATTGTCAAGTATGGGTGAAAGGCTGTAATCAGAAATACTGCATTGCAGATGCTGGCCTATATTTGTCCCAAATATCTTTTGGCTCTGATAAATTGAGAGGCTGGATCAAGCTGCCTGGGGAAGCAAATATTAATATCTCAAGGGGGCAGGGTGGGTAAAGAGGAGAGTCATTTGATTAAAGTTAATAACATTTGTTCTGGAAATAAGCACAGATCTACACACATACACACATTTTGCACAACATTTCAGAAATTTATGGACATAAGAATCCTACCCACTGATTGCAATTTCAGAAACTCAGATAAGGGCTGTATATGAAGCACTATGAGCCCTGACTATATTAATGACCAGTTGCAAGAAATTATTACATATGACTGTGTTAGCCCTTTCTGAGGGATTCCCTGTAAGCAATTACATTTAATGAATATTTATTAGGACCCTACTATGTACTCATTGGTGCAAGGAATACATAAATGACTAAGACATTGTCCTTACCAACAGTGGTCAATGTACTGTTGGGAAAAACAAATACGTAATTCTAATACAAGACAGATTTAATAAGTGTGAAAACCAAAGTACAAACTATCATAAAAGAACACAGTTGGGAAATACTGATTCTGAGGAGCCCTGGAAAACAATCAGTCCTAATTTTATTTTGCATGTGCTTTTTTCAAAAGTTTGCTGCCTACAAAAATTCTAATTTAGAATAATAGTGTGGGAAAAATTATGCACACTCCTTCAATGATATTTACCATTAATTTCCCAAAATACATATATAAATTTAGGACAAATTCCCAAACACTCCAAAATCACATATGATTGCTTATCATGCATCTTGGCATTTCCAGAGTTAAGTTGCAGCAGGTATCAAGGCCAGAAAATCTAACTTAGAAGAGTTACCTGGCATCTGATTTTTTAAAATAAAGAGTAGTTATGAAGGGTCCCAGAAATCAGTGCATAAGCTTATAAGTAACTCTTCAGTATGCATGGGAAATCCCGATGCCATGAAGAACACTGCTCACAAACAGGTGCCAGGTCAATATAAAATTGAAAGTCTGGGTTAGGCTGCTCACCACTCCAGGTCTGTAAGCACCACCGAGTACACTATTTTCCTGGCATTGTTAAACTCTGAATGGATTATGTGTCTTTCTGAAAGCAAAATGGAATAGGATCAATAGAATCAGCTTGCAAAACCTAGCCATAAGGAAGACGGAAAGTGGAGGACAACCCAGAGATGACCTGGCAGGCTTTTCTATTATGATCATTTTGGGAAGATACCAACTTCTTTTACCTAACCAGAAATGAGCCCAGCCCATTAATGGTGTCTTCTTTCTAATGAACTATTAACCCAAGTAGGATAATTTCTCTTTTGAGCAGAGATAATAATTACATAATGACTATCTCCTTCAACCTCTGCCAACAACCCTATTTGTTAACTTAAGGAAAGTTTCTGCAAAAACTACTCCATTTGCCTTAGAAAAGGAAGCTCTAGCTCAAGAGCATGAACTGACCATCTGAGTGGTGCCTAGAAGGAACTGGAAGAGATTGTCCATCCAGGTGTATGATTTTGTTGCACCTGGTTCTGCCTGTTTTATGTTTCCCTTCCCAGATAGGGCACAGGAAATGAAGCATTTCCTAAGCTGATTTATTAAGTTCTTTCCTTAATCCCCTGTACCGGAAACACATTGATTTCAAAGCTTTGTACGTTCCCCAAACTTAGAATGCTTACCATATTTCATCAGCAGAGTTGATTATTAGGGATGAGGAGGGAGGCATTTCATCGGCCTTAAATTCACAAGTTGTCAAGAAGATCCATGCTTCTTTGCATAGTAATTTATTCCTAAATAATGATCTTTTAGAGAAATTGACTACTTTTCTTTCTCCTTCTGGCATTTTTGTCAGTCTCAGATTTAAATACATACAATGTAGTCTTTTGTGCTCCTTGTGAAAATCAAGTGAATCTTTCTACACAGCAGCGAGTGACTTTCTATTACTTGGTTGGTGGTATAATATTTTACCATTTCCAATTTGCAAAGCTGTTCTGTTGAAATACGTAGGGAAGATTCCTGAAAAAGAACTGTCATTCTTTCCCAAGGTTTTCTAAATTGTATTTAAAACTGAACAGCCCCCTCCTGTGGCTTTTAAACCCCTTTTGGCTTTTAAGCCTAGATGGATGAGCCTTTGACTGTCAGAACCAAGAGAAGTTAAATGAAAAGGGATTCTAAGAGAAAGGAGGCCCAGGAAACAATGTACTCTCCCAGCGCCATTTGCTTTTTGAACTTGATGTTAATTTAGGAAAGATTAAAATGTGTTAGGCATTTGCGAACAGGAAAAAACATCAATTTCATTGGTATCTGAAGAATCATTCCTTGGAGAAATTCATTTGTTAGTGATTGAACATTCAGTTTCATGGGGAAAAAAATGGATCAGACTGTAAGACAGACATTATGCTAAATGCTATAGATTTACAGAGATCAGTAAGACTCAGCCATGGCCCTTGAAATGGGAGAGAAAAGAGGAGTTAAGTAATTTTGATTGTATTGTAGGTCTTAAGTGGTAAATAAAGAATGGTCCGGAGCTTAGTTTTGGCTGTGGGGCATCAGTAAAGAATTCATATAAAAGTGGAAATTATGATAAACTTTGAAATTTGAAAAACAGGAGGTTTCAGGTCAATGGAGTTTCTTGCATAGGAACATGAAAACATCAGAATATTTTAGTGTACACATGTAAGGAGGTCACAGATTAGACATAGGTAAGTTTTGGAAAATAAGGTTGGAAATAGAGCCTCAAGATATATGTTGACTACCAGGATGAGGGATACTGACTAGTTAATAGTCAATAGTTAAAATTGAATAGTTGATTAGTTTAGAGCCTCTAAATGTGTTTGAGTGTGGGAATTATGATTGGGGCTATAAATTGGGAAGATTAATCTGTCAGCAGGAAATAAATTAGACTATTGTAGTCAGGAGAGACACAAGATAAAGAAAATAGTGCAAGTGCTATTGCAAGTCTGAAAGTCTATCAATAAAATAAAAAGAAGGATCTGGGGAAGTGCTTAAAGGAAGTAGAAAGTTGGTGATTTGCCATATTCTTGACTGGCAATGAGGGAGAACGTGACTGTGATATACAAAGGATTATCTGAATACTAGGAGTAGGGAAATGGTTTGGGAACTGAGGGAGGGAAAGATAGGTGGAGACCGTTTAAGGAGAAAATGATGTATTTGACTTTGGACATGGTGAGTTTGAAATCCTGATAAGATATTTAAATAGAGATGTTCAGGGTAAATTAAAATCCACAGGTAGTTGGAATGCCCCTGCAGCTGGATGAGGGGGTGAGTGTTCTTTACTCTTGAATCCCAGGAGTTCTTAGTCCTGCTTATTGTAGAATTAATAACATAGAAAAACAATTTATTTCTCACCTAGATGCTCATATTTCTAACTCTCTTGTGGCACTTGTTTTTTTTTAATTCTATCATAATTATTTGTAGGCATATCTTATTTCCTCTACCAGACTATAAACACCTTGAAAGTAGGGGCCATATATATTACCATATGTAGTTTGTTTGTCCAGTAACAGTTCTTTTTTTTTTAAGATTTTATTTATATTTATTTATTTGGCAGAGAGAGAGAGCACAAGCAGGGGGAGTGGCAGGCAGAGAGAGAAGCAGGCTCCCCACTGAGCAAGGAGCCCCATGGGGGACTCGATCCCAGGACCCTGGGACCATGACCTGAGCCAAAGGCAGACGCTTAACCGACTGAGCCATCCAGGCGCCCCTGTCCAGTAACAGTCCTAAACTGTTATAGTAAGGACACATAGCTGAGTGAACACTTTAAGGAATGATACAATTGCCTTCATTTTTTTCATTTTTAATTTCTTACAATGACAATCACTTACCAGTTTACTGCCTTGTCCTTGTGAAAAGATTGTGGACACGTATGACTCATAGCATAGAACATGGATACGAGTGGATTACTTTGATTCCTGGCTATGAAAATGGGCACAAAATATAAGGAAAGGGGCTTCTTATCAAAGGTAAGCCAATTCCCAAAGTCTAGCCAGGAGAGAAGGTGATAGGGATAGATGGACAATCTAGTACCAGGTGACAGTAATTAACAACAAATCTGGAGAAGTAAACTACTCTGACTATAATCCTTGGGAGGAAGAATATCTAAAAAGAACTGGCTCTACCTTTCCTTTTGGGGTATAAAATACTTTATGTAATATCTTCTTATAGTTAGAAATATTCAAGGAGAAACCTTATTCTCAACCAACTTCTTAAAAATACAAAACGGCTTTTTTAAAAAAGAAAGTTCACAAAAAGGGAAGTTTAAGAAAGTTAAATAAATACCACACATCATTAATTCATGTGTTATTTTTGATCGCATGTGAGTTGCTCTAGAGCAGATCATTTTACTTATTCTGTTTAGCTTCATCACTATCAGAAATTCTTACCTAAGGGCGCCTGGGTGGCTCAGTTGGTTAAGCGACTGCCTTCGGCTCAAGTCATGATCCTGGAGTCCCTGGATCGAGTCCCGCATCGGGCTTCCTGCTCGGCAGGGAGTCTGCTTCTCCCTCTGACCCTCCCCCCTCTCATGCTCTCTCTCTCTCATTCTCTCTC